TCTGTTCTTTTTTTTTAAAATATATTTTATTGATTTTTTACAGAGGAAGGGAGAGGGATAGAGAGTTAGAAACACAGATGAGAGAGAAACATCGATCAGCTGCCTCCTGCACACCTACTGGGGATTTGCCCACAACCAAGGTACATGCCCTTGACCGGAATCGAACCCGGGACCTTTCAGTCTGCAGGCCGACACTCTATCCACTGAGCCAAACCGGTTATGGCTGGATCTATTCTTGTTCATCAAATTAGGGTCTTGTTTTTTTAATCCATTAAGCCATCCTATCTCTTTTTATTGGAGTACTTAATCCATTTACATTTAAAGTAATTATTGGCAAGTATGCACTTACTGCCATTTTGTTCATTTTTTTTTTTTTTTTTTTTGGTCACTTCTTGTGGTTTGCTGGCTTTCTTTAGTATTTTGTTTGGGTTCCTTCTCTTCTTTGTATAACTTTTGTAGGTTTTGTATAGCTTTTGAGGTTTATGGCTATCACTAGCAGTTTATTTTAAGCTAATAGGCATTTAAATTCAAATATATTCTCTAAGGATTACATTTTTACACCCCCTCCACATTTTATGTTATTGATGTTGTTTTAGGTCTTTTTTGTGTTGTCTCCACTCTACTTACTGTAGTTTGAGTTTGATACTTTTTCTTTTGACCTTCATAGTAGCTTTTTAAAGGAGCTGTTCTATTCCTAGATCTGGAGTGGTCTGCCGAGTCAAGTACTGCAATAGCCTCCCTGACATCCCCTTCGACCCCAAGTTTATTACCTACCCTTTCGACCAGAACAGGTGAGACTTAAGATTGGGAATGAGAAACAACTCAGAGTATGAGCTCCTTGCAGGCAAGGACTGCTTCTCTTGTTGATTGTTCTCTCTTCTGGGCCTAGAACAGTACCCTGCACATACTACAGTAGTAGGTGCCTGATAAATATTTGGTAATGAGCAAGCAGTGTCCAAGTCTCTTTCCATTGGAGAGCAAGTGTTCAGACTTGGACATGGGGGAACACTCCGCTCTTGAGTTCCTCCCTGTAGAAGTTTAGCCTCTGTGAAGCAGGGATTTGAGGGGTAAAGCTGAGTCAGGAAACCATAATGGGCATGTTTCCCTACCCAGGTTTGTTCAGTACAAAGCAACTTCCTTGGAAAAACAGCACAAACATGACCTCCTGACTGAGCCAGACCTGGGGGTCACCATTGACCTCATCAACCCTGACACCTACCGCATTGACCCCAATGGTATGTAGGGAGGCAGGGAGGACCTGCTTTAGACTAGCAAAGGCCAGGCCTGGACCTCCATCATGGTTTCTTACCCCCTTTCTCTCCTCTAGTACTCTTAGATCCAGCTGATGAGAAGCTTCTGGAAGAAGAGATTCAGGCCCCCACTAGCTCCAAGAGGTGAGCGGGTAGGATGCTGAGTGGGGACTGGGGACTGGCTCCAATGGAAGGAGGGTGGTGAGGTCCTGAAGTGTCTGATCCTCCACCTTAGGTCTCAGCAGCATGCAAAGGTGGTGCCATGGATGCGGAAAACAGAGTATATCTCCACTGAGTTCAACCGTTATGGCATCTCCAATGAGAAGCCTGAGGTGAAGTAAGTTGTGGTAGGTAGGGAGGGAAGGTAGAAATTTCAGGTGTGTCCAGTGGTCCCTAAAGGCCTTTCTTTCTCTTCACCCTTAGGATTGGGGTTTCTGTAAAACAGCAGTTCACTGAGGAAGAAATTTACAAAGATAGGGATAGCCAGATAACAGCCATTGAGAAGACTTTTGAGGATGCCCAGAAGTCGGTAACTGAGGGACTAAGATGGGGAGGCAGAAAAAGAGGTGGCTTCAAAGCTCTTCATCCTCCTCCTCACCCTGTTTTTGTTCCTACCAGATCTCCCAGCATTACAGCAAGCCCCGAGTGACACCGGTGGAGGTCATGCCCGTCTTCCCAGACTTTAAGGTCAGATTTGGTACAGGAGGCAGAGCGAGATAGCCTGTCATCTCTGCACGTCTCACTTCTAACTCCAGTGTCCTCTGTCCAACAGATGTGGATTAATCCATGTGCTCAGGTAATCTTTGACTCAGACCCAGCCCCCAAGGACACGAGTGGTGCAGCTGCATTGGAGATGATGTCTCAAGCCATGATCAGGTAAGTGTCCCTGTTGCCAACCTTGGCCTATTTCTCATTGCCCTTTGTCCTCATTTATCACAGCTCTTCCTCTTCCCCCAACCAGGGGCATGATGGATGAGGAAGGAAACCAGTTTGTGGCCTACTTCCTGCCTGTGGAAGAGACATTGAAGAAACGAAAGCGGGACCAGGAAGAGGAAATGGACTATGCACCGGATGATGTGTGCGTGGGTTGGGGATTGAGAAGTGTGTCTTTCTCCCTCAAAGGGAAGAAATGGGGCTAACCCTGTCCCCCTCATCCTCAGATATGACTACAAGATTGCTCGGGAATACAACTGGAATGTGAAGAACAAAGCTAGCAAGGGTTATGAGGAAAACTACTTCTTCATCTTCCGAGAGGGTGATGGAGTTTACTACAATGAGTTGGAGACCAGGTACTCAGCGCATATACCTCAGATTTCTACCTCAGAGTAGCCTGGGCCCGTGCTTCAGGGTCAAGACCCTAGGATATGCCACCTTAGAGGTCATTTGTACCTAAGGATTTGTCACATGCATTTGTAAGCAACTAGCAGAAGCCTGCTCATGCATGTGGGCTAGATCTGTTTCTAACACAGTAACCCACTAGAGATATTTAGACCTTTTATGCAGGGTAGACAGCCAAATTTCCTGATATTAAGAGACTTCATGTGAAAGTAAACATAGCTAAAGTATGGGATTATACATAAAATTAGCATATTTAAAATGAAATCCTGGATACCCAAGTTAAAAAATGTGACCCCAAAACTTTTCCCTGATGGCTAAAAGTTTATTTTTGGCTGGGGCCTTTGGTATAAGGGTTGGGAAAAAGTGTGACCTTGAATTTTAAGTAGAGATTACAAATTCTGATCCTGTAAGCCAACGAGGAAATGTGAAAGAAGGCACAATGGGCTGGTGGGGTCTGGGTGACCTAGAGCTCTTGGCACTCTCCAAGGGGTACCACAACCCAGCTCAACAAAAGATTCCAACCCATTGCTGGTCTGTTGTGGAAGGCTAAGAGGCCTGTGTAACAGGGCCATAGATTCATATTTTCCCTAAACCAGAGATCTAGGTTCTATGTTTTTAAGTGTTGGTAACTAACTCACATTAAAGTCTATACACACACTTTATAGTGCAGGGCAATCAAATTGGTATCTTGGGAGCAATAACCCTTCCCCTCCTCTGCCCCAAATCAGAGTTTAGTCTCCCTTATTAAATCTGTATTTATTCTTATCTGTTCTGGGCTAAGCATTGGTGAGGAATTGAAGAACCAAGTTGAACCATACTCCTCACTGGGGTTTTTAACTGCATCTTCCTCACCCCTTTCCCAACTTGCCCACTGCAGGGTCCGCCTAAGTAAGCGCAGGGCCAAGGCTGGGGTTCAGTCGGGTACCAATGCCCTGCTTGTGGTCAAACACCGGGACATGAATGAGAAGGAATTAGAAGCCCAGGTAACAATTACCACTGTTTCAGGGCACCCATGGGGAGGGTGGTGGTGGGTAAAGAGGGAAACAAAAGCCTGATAGAATACTTTCCCTCCCCTCCTGCTGCTTCCCAGGAGGCACGGAAGGCCCAGCTGGAGAACCATGAACCCGAGGAAGAGGAGGAAGAGGAAATGGAGACAGAAGAGAAAGAAGCTGGGGGCTCAGGTAAAGCTGCATAAGCTAATCCCTGGAAACCCTGGGAGGGTGGGAAACTGGGTCTCACTTCTTTCTGTTCCCTCACAGATGAGGAGCAAGAGAAGGACAGCAGCAGTGAGAAAGAAGGCAGTGAGGATGAGCGCTCAGGCAGTGAGAGTGAGCGGGAAGAGGGTGACAGGGATGAAGCAAGTGACAAGAGTGGTAGCGGCGAGGAGAGCAGTGAGGATGAGGCCCGAGCTGCCCGGGACAAAGAGGAGATCTTCGGCAGTGATGCGGATTCAGAGGACGCCGACTCTGATGACGAAGACAGAGGACGGGCCCATGGTAGTGACAATGATTCAGAGAGTGGCAGCGATGGAGGTGACCACCGGAGCCCCAGTCCCAGCCGCAGCCCCAGTGGCAGCGCCAGTCCCTTCCCCAGTGGCAGTGAGCACTCAGCCCAGGAGGATGGCAGTGAAGCCCCAGCTTCTGATTCCAGCGAAGCAGACAGTGACAGTGACTGAGTCCTTTCAGGGCTGGCGCAGACATGATTATTATGTGCAGGAAGGCACTTTTCTGTGGTGTATTTGTGAGCCTTTCACTGTTTCCCTTCCCTCCTCCAACCCTTTGCTGTTAATAAAACCAGTTTCTCCCCTTCCCAGTCCTTATGGTCTCCTTCTGTCTACATCGCCCCCCTCGCACTCCATCACCTTCTCCATCCCTACCCCCGGTACTCAGTGGCCTCAGCTTAACGGCATAGAAGCAAAGGCCACAGGTTTTCAAGGAAATGTAGCATAACAAAGATCAGAATCCTTTTTTTGTTATGTTGTTTCTTTTTTTTTTTTTTTCCAAAATAAGCCCAGACCATTAAACAAGTGAAACGCCAACAAATAAATCTCCAACAGCGAGAAAAACTGTACAGTTACTCAAAGCTGATTCTGCCAGTGGGGCTGGGGATAGAAGGGAGGGTGAAATCATGTCAAGGAAATGTAGCATAACAAAGATCAGAATCCTTTTTTTGTTATGTTGTTTCTTTTTTTTTTTTTTTCCAAAATAAGCCCAGACCATTAAACAAGTGAAACGCCAACAAATAAATCTCCAACAGCGAGAAAAACTGTACAGTTACTCAAAGCTGATTCTGCCAGTGGGGCTGGGGATAGAAGGGAGGGTGAAATCATGGACCCTGATGAATAATGAACAAGATGGGACTGGCTGGGAGGAGGTGAGGGTCCTGTAAGAGGGACACCCTGCAGATTCCAAACGAGGTGGCCCCTGTCCATCCCACTTCCCTGGGCTAGTGGGAGGGGAATTGGGGAAGCCCTGGGAATTTGAGGGGAATGAGCAAAGGCACAGAAACATGGAGGGGCCGGGGTGGGGGACTTGCATAGGTTGATGAGTGTGCAAGAGGTACATAAATAAACCTGACACCCCACCCAGCCCGGCACTGGGAGAGGAGGTAGGGACCTGGAGCAGGTCCCCAGGGCTACACCCCCTCCCCCAGGCTTTTTCCCTCTCCCTGGGCTCAGAGTTGAGGGAGGTCGAGACCTGGAGGGCAGGGGCAAAAGTAGGGGAATGGGGTGAGAGTGCTGGGAGGGCGGTGGTTTTAAAATTTTTTTGGTTTTTTGTTTTTTCCCAACATCTTTAATAACATACACAATGGTTACCAGCCATATTCATAACAAAAGTTATTCATAAAATGTATCTAAAAATAACATTTTTTCCCTTTCGGTGTGAAAAGCTTGAGAATGTCCCAGTGTGTATGGGAGGGTTGAGAGGGGAGGGAGTTGGAATAGGGGACCCTGGCTTCCCCACAACCTGAACCCTCAAATCCCCTCCCTCCACCTGGGCCCCAGCACAACCCAGCAGTAGGAACAGGGACCAGAGGCTCTGTATGACTCCAGGGCTGGGGGAATCTCTGGGTTATGATATAGTGTTCCACTTAATGAGGTCATGACATAATGGGGAGTGGGGGAAGGATGAGAGAAAGGGGGTGGGGAAAGAAACCAAAACCAAACAATCCCCTTTCCCTTATTCCTTACCCCCAAGTCTTTCAGCAACCAGACCTGGGAGTGAAGAGTATGTTGATGGGGGAAGGGGATGTTAAGGCAACAGACTTCCTGACCTCATTGGCTGTCCTGGCTCCCCACCTTCAACTTATGCATCTGGGGAGCCAAGGCTGGGGGGAAGTGGGGAAGAGCTAGGGGGTCTGGAGGAGGGGGCTCTGCCCCTCTCCCCTCATAAAATTCAGGTTCCCCCTGCCACTTTCTTGGCTCAGAAAGAGGCCTGGGGATTCTAAAAATGAGAGGGAATGATCAGAGAAAAACCGTTAAGAACTATATAAATATGTATCTTAAATAGGCCTAAGAAATTAATTGTAGAGAACCTCTGATAAACAGGGCAAAAGGAGGTGAGTGAGAAGAGGATGGCTCCTGTCCTTGGGGAATGATGGAAATTGGGAAGGAGAAGAAGGTGGCGAGGAGAAAGCTTCCTCTCCTCACCTACCTTCTCCTTAGCGCCTCTCAAAATAATATTCAGGAGAGCAGGTTATCTACCCAGCTTGTCTCTCCCCAAATGTCTGATGGTTCTGAGCAGGCCCCATAAGATAGTGGGTCAGTGAGTCTCAGGGGATTAGGGAGCTGCTCCCTCAGGAGGGGCAGGTGAACATTCTGGAGGAAGCAGGGGTGGGATCGGGCCAGATGAGCTATAAGGAAGGAAAGGGAGGCAGGCAGGCTGGCCAAGTTCCTGCCCCCTTTATTCTGGCTGCCCCCCACCTCCCTGGGCCTCGGCAGAGATCCCTCAATGGGCCCGAGAGTGAGCAAGGCAGGTGCCAATGTTAAACAAAAGTTAAAAGGATGAGAGAGTAGAAAAATATTAGAATGTATAGCTGAGCCAGCCCACCCTCTCGCTGTCGCAGAGAAGCCCGTTGGGGGTTGGCCCCCGCCCGCCGCCCAGGGAGCCTATGGGTGCGCTGGGCTGTGGGTCCCGTCAGATGGTGGAGGTTTTGTCTGTCCCATCTGTGGTAAGAAAGGGAGGAAGGGAGGAAGATCAGGAGCTGGCGGGAGGCTTGAGAAAAGATGCTCAGGTAGCCTGCCATCCCAGTCAGGTCCTCCCTGAAGTACAGCCTCCCCGAGGGCCCCCTCAAGGATGACTATGAGTTGCTCAGTTCAGAGGTGGAGACGCTGCTGGGTAGGTGGGAGCTGGGTCAGGGAAAGAGGAAATGCTCACCACCCAAGGCGTGTTCTGTCATGCTCAGACACAGAGACTCCAGAGTGGGGTTGATCTCCAGGTCAGGCCCAGGGACCGGACAGTCTGTATGGGACAGAGGAGAATGAAGGTGGTAAGGACTGGACTTAGGTGGAGAGTAAAGCTGGGAAGACAAAGGACAGGATAGGCTGGCATTGGGGAGAGGCTGGGAGAGACAAGGGGGAAAAGGAGGGAGAGAGAGAGACAGAGAAACAGCACATGAGACAGGCACACACTCGGATGGAAGGTGTAACTAGGCAGAGGTGAAGGACAGAGACAGGCCTGGGTGTATCACAAAGCAGGTAGAGCCCTAACCGGTTTGGCTCAGTGGATAGAGCGTCAGCCTGCGGACTCAAGGGTTCCAGGTTCGATTCTGGTCAAGGGCATGTACCTTGGTTGCGGGCATATCCCCAGTAGGGGGTGTGCAGGAGGCAGCTGATCAATGTTTCTCTCTCATCGATGTTTCTAACTCTCTATCCATCTCCCTTCCTCTCTGTAAAAAATCAATTAAAAAAAAAAAAAAAGGTAGAGATGGCAAGGGCAGAGGCTTGGCCAACAAATAGAAAGCTTGACCTGTAGACAGAGTAATGTGAAGCTGAGGTCTACACAGCCTGTGACTATTTTGGACACATACTATAGGTTGTCTTCTTGGGCATAGTCTGGGTATCTGCTGTGGGTGCTGGGCAGCCACTGTGTTCCCTGACTGATGACCTGCTCTATACTTCATTTAGAAGCTTAATTAGAACTCTTCCCATTCTTTCTTGGACTTTCTCCTCTGGGATGGATTCAATCCAGGCAGGCCACACAGATGGGGCAAACCAGGGCAGCAGCCACGGGGCTTATCCTCAAACCACCTCTCAAAAGGGCTTCCTCTTCTGGAGTCTGAGACCCACCCCACACTGCTTAAAACCCTTCCTGGCTCCTTACATCTGAGCTTTTTACCTGGGTTTAAAAGACCCTGCTCCCACCTCCAGCTTCACCTTTCATCATGTCCCCTCTGAACCCTGAACTCAGGCCATGTCAGACCACCTAACTGTCTTCCCTTTTGAACTTGGGCAAGTTACCTATTTGTGTCTCAGATTTGTGACTGATCAGATAGGAATGAAATCAGTGCCCTCACTTGCAGTTGGGAGGGTTTGATTAAACAGTGCAATAAAACTGTCTGACAAAAGCCTGGCACATAGCATACCAGTAAAAAGAATTGTTCTTTTTTGTTGTTGTTGTTCCTGCAGTTCATCATCTTATAACATCATTTACAGGTGCTAGGCCCTGTGCAAGGATGAACACAACTAACAGGGCCTCTTACCTTCAACAGATGGCAGTCCACATTATCTTATAAATTAAGAATACCTACTGATTTGGCAGTTTATGACAAGAAGAGTTTAGGGTCACCTGCATATCTAAGGTTTCTCCAGCAGCCATTCCAGAGTAGCCTTATCTGCCTCAGCAGCCTTGGTGCCCAGCAATGGGCTTGGCACAGGAGGAGTCATCCTCACTGGTTGAGCAAGGTAGGGCTAACACTTCTCTCCCCTTCTGTCCTCTTCACCCTCATTTTGATCTATCTCTGGGCTGGTCTGTGAGCACAGGAAAAACAGTCCCTCCAACTCAAACACCCTTTAGGTGTTTGATCCAAGAAAAATCTGTTCCAAGAGCTAAATGGTTCCAGCCTGGTCACCTGGCTTCTGAAAGAATGCCAGATTGATAGACACCTCCAAAAAACCCTCACTGCTTTGACTCTCATCCCCTCAACCCCTTTCAAACTGAGTACTTAATGATCCTCTAAAAAGACGGTGACAGAGACCGACATGGATACCAAAATTATGACAGGGAGAGATGTGGACATGCGGGAGTAGAAGTAAGGGGTGAGAGACGACAGAGAAAGGAAGGCAGTGCTCGCTTTGGCAGCACATGTAATAAAATTGGAATGATACAGAGAAGATTAGTATGGCCCCTGCACAAGATGAAATGCATATTTAAAACCAAGAGAGAAAGGAAGAAAAGATCTGAGAGAGAAAATTGAAATGGGGGTGGGGAAGAGTACAAGAAAACCCATGATGAGAGGAGGTTGGAAGGATGGGGAGAGGTGCTCGAGTGTAAAAGAAATAGGAGAGAAGATAAAGGCCAGCTAAGGGTGTTGTGGAGGCAGAATCCCAAGGGCTAGGGCACTTTACCTGGAGGGAACATGAGAATGGCCTGCGGCGAGGAGTGGACTGGGAGCGAGTGCGTGCGCTGCACAGAGCTACGGCTCTGGCTGGGCATGCTGTTGCTGCCTCCAGGGTTGGCAAACCATAAGTTCTGAAAAGGGCATGGGAAGAGAAAAAGTGGGTGAGTGGTGGAGACCCAGGCCCAGGAGTAATGGAACTGGCAAAGGAGCCCCTCCCCTCTAATCCAAGCCCAGATCAAAGATACGGACACACACATCCCAGGCACCAACACCCACCTCAACCCCAGAAGCACCAGGCCCTCTATATCTAGCCGCTCACCTGTCGGCCTTGGCCCCCAAGGTTGGGGCTGGTGAGGGCATGTCTGGGGGAAATGCCCCCAATGCCCGAGGGGCTTAGAAGGCCCATTCTGCCAGGTGGAAGGGCCCGGGGAGGCATTGGGAACTGCCGCTGGGTCCGCCGGGCCACCCCCATCCCCACAGAGCCAGCTATGGGGAGTGAGTTGGAGCCAAACGCCCAGCTGTGAGAGAGCAGAAGGCAGGGTGTCAGTTTAGGTGGATGGGGCCCA